CGCCCGCCGTTCGTTGGTGGAGCCAACTGGCGGCGCAGTCTGTCCTTGGAGCTGGCGCTGGAACCCCGGCGGACGCAGTCTGTCCCTGGAGCTGGCGCTGGAGCCCCAACGGACGCGGTAGGTGTCTGGAGCTGGCGCTGGAGCTGGCGCTGGAGCCCCGGCGGACGCGGTCTATCCCTGGAGCTAGTGCTGGAGCCCCGACGGGCGCAGTAGGTATCTGGAGCTGGCGCTGGAGCTGGCGCTGGAGCTGGCGTTGGAGTCGGCGCGCGCGTGACAGCGCCCGTGACGCCCGCAGACGTAGGTGAGGTGTTGGGGTGCGAGCTGGAATTGCACCGCGGAGTTTGTGGGCGGCGGGGGAGGGTTCCTACGCTTCTCGGAAAGGAGATCGCGTGGAATTAACATGGATTTTTTCACCTCAGTACACCTGTGGTCAATAATTACGCCAGTTGGAGGAACCAAAAGCCACTAGATGTGTTCGGCTTCTATGTGCCCACTGCAAAAAAATACATCAAATACAGAATGCATCGAAGCTTTGGCACCCACCACTAGGTCTCGAAGGTCTATCCGGTTGATGCATGCGCAGTTTTGGGCCCGTCGACTGTGAGGAGAGAGACCTAATTTCGACATCTAAATTTCGAAAGAGGTACTCCTACACATCGTCCTAACTCTGCCAACTCCGTGGGTATCATTGACTGAGTGGATAAGTGGTGGCTTAACTCGGCTTGTCCCGGGATTAACGATTGAGGAAAGAAATGTAGCGTGGTTTTTTAATCAAAACCACTGGCTTCCTCGTGTGTTTCACAGAATATAATTAGGCCATAACCAGAACCATGAAGCCTAGTTAACGTATCAACGATTCTGGTAAATAAGTTAGATTCAAATCACAGTCCCACACACTACTATTGTGCAATAAACTGATCCCACCTTGGCCTGGGGTTTGTCTCATTCGGAGACGTTTTGACTGCATGTCGACTAGGCCAACACGGTGATTCGTTCGGCAAGTTCAACGGCGCAAGCTATGCCATCTAGCGACCTCTCTTGCTAATATCACTCCCACCCTGGCCCGAACCATACGCACATCGTATTTCTCCGGCCCTAAAGCGACAGCGTGCTTGTTGTGATAAGGCGCCGGTGAGCGTTTTTTGATAATTGCTTCCCCTGAGGCGACTGAGAGTGCACATTCACGGCCGCGGTTGTCGGCTGGATTTTCCAGCTGCGTTCTTCAGCTGTTCTATATCAAGTCCTTCGGGCATTTCCTGGCGTTCTTCTGACTCAGATCTGCAGAAATTTTAAACCCTATTGTATTGAAAACCGCCTCCACAAGGAGTATGTTCCAAAAATACTGTGAACCTTCATAAATTGGAGTTTTAGTGAAGTAGATGATGTATTTTGGGCCAGCACGTTGTCAATCTTCAAGCGGTGTCTTCAGATCGAAATGCGACCCCATGATGCAGTTTCGCCACATCCCAGGGTGCCAATCTCACCAACGGTGGTGAACTCAACGCATTGATGTCATAGCGATGTTTGAAACGGCGCCAAGCCTACGGCTTACTTTGACTCGTCCTGAGAAGAAATCGCTGCTTATAGCGCACAGTCCCAGCCACACCTTCACTCTCTTTCTAATTCAATCATTTGGACAGGCGCTAGCAAGTCATCGAATCACTTATCCGGTTCTTGACGACATATATTTGCGCCCAGTGATTCATGCTGGCTTCCAGACTGTAATAC